TGGATTTATTACTATATGTCTCTGACCTATATTGTGTATCATCATGTGAACTTCTCTTTTTTCTTTCTTTTTTTTTAATGTTTATTTTATTTTTGAGAGAGAGACAGAGCATGAGCAGGGGAGGGGCAGAGAGAGAGGGAGACAGAATCCGAAGCAGGCTCCGAGTTGTCAGCACAGAGCCCGATGTGGGGCTCAAACCCGTGAACCGTGAGATCATGACCCGAGCTTAAGTCGGATACTCAACCGACTGAGCCACCCAGGCAGCCCGTGGACTTTTCTTTTCAGCCATGCCCTGTCATGACTTTGAGGCTTACATACAAAAGCTAGATTACCTAATGGGTAACTCACCCTCCCAACAATAAATGGCAATGTTTCTTTCAGACTTCCGGGTTCTAATGAGTCCAACCAATTTGCTGGATTTGGGTTCTCTAAGAACAGGAATCTACCATGCTTGATTCATTATCATCATCCTTAAAGCTTTTTTCCCAACTCTGTATTGTCTGTGGCACTGAAAAAAGACTTGCTAAGAAGTGAATTGAAACTTCATGCTGACTTATGAAATCTTTCAGGAAAGGCAACAACATTGTGCAAGCTTATCCTTCTGATAAAAACTTCTCATTTCTCAGAATGGCTAGTATTGTTTTGTCCCTATCGACTTCTATAGGCTACAATAACCCCTGTAAGTTTACACAGAAAGAAACAAAGACAGAAAAGGGGCTTACCAAATTGACACTGGGGCCCGTAGTACCCGACATCACAGTTGCAGGTATAATTATTGATGGTTTCCACACATTCTCCATGGTCGCTGCATGATGAGGGCTGACAAGAAGCTTTAAAGGTGGGGGACGAAATAAATGATTTGAACATGATTACTTCTTAGTACTCAGAGTCATTTCTTTGGATACAGATAACTCTTTTGGCTGAGACTACTTTAATAAGCAGGAAAGGTTTATTTGTACCTTCATAGCATTTTTGCACCAAAAGATAGGTCAGGATTTTTCTATTTATGTCATATACTGGCCATATAGCCACAGGCATATACTTAGAATGAATTTACCGACACCAACATTCTCTAACATTCTGGGGAAACTCACTGATGTACTTTGAACTCTTGCAATTATTTTGTTTTAAATGTCATAAGTACATTAAGTGATGGCCTAACCCCAACCATTTTGCAGTATATTTGACAATCCCTCTCTTTTTAGAAAGTACTATAGAAAGATTAAGAAGTTCGAACTTGTTAGGTCAGTAGAGAGCCCAATGTACAAGAGGTCAAATTAACTATGTTTCACTGATGAAATATGACTTGGAAAAATACCGTTTGGGAACTGAAAACAAATTTTCATCCTCCACAGGTAACAAAACATGGCAGTATTTCATTATATAGAATTATGGGAGATTAGGCCAAGCACAAAACATGAGCATAAAGCCCCCCACCATAAGCAGGGAGGAAATGAGGGGGCGTGTGAGCCTGAGCTCTTGGCCAGACCCACATCTCTGTATCCGCTTCCCTGCCTCACTTCTCACATGCATTTGTCATATTGATGCAGATTGATTTAAAGATGTCACTTTTGGGTGCTGGACCCAGCCTCCCACACCAAACGTGCACAGAAGTGACATGCTTTTATTCTATTTTTATTTTTGTTTTTTCGAGAACTGGATTTACTTCCAAAGGTACCGGAAACTGCTTTCTTCCCTAACACCCCCACCACCCCTGGGATCCACGCCACCACTCTCCCCACTCTGGCCACCGCCTACCTGTGTAACAGAGGGCTCTCTTCTGCTTGTGACAGGAATCATCATTCCATTTTCCCGCGTCTTTGGCCCTCTTGATGTAAATCTCCACACAGTCTTCTTTGGACTTCTTGTTGTTCGGCTCTCCACGTCCCCAGTTCTCCGCTTCTTTGGTAAGAGACTTGTTGGTTCCCACCCAAGTCCACGTTCCCCCTACCTTCCGGATTCCTATCCAGTAGTAATAGCGGCTGAAGGGAAGCGTCTGCTCCAGGTATTCAATCTCCCCCTTGTTCTGGATGGCAACTAAATCTGTGTAATTTTCTTGGCAGAACTTTCTAGCCCTTGCCCAGTTCATGGGTGTTTCAGAATAGTGGTAAGTCCAGCAGTCGGTCCCGTGACGTGCAAGGAAATCTGAAAGACATCAATGCGAACTATGCGGGCTCACAGTCATGGCTGGAAAGAATCTAGAGCGAATCCATGCTGGGCCCGCCACTTAGACGTGAAGAAACCGAGACCTCAAGGGTATATGGGTTACCTTCTCAGGGTCATAGAATCGGTCATTTGCACATTTGGGGTAGAACCTAGACCTTTGGTTTCTATTTACTTTTCATGGTAACATTCAATACTTTTTGTGCATCGCTCTATTTTAGATAAATCTGGTGGCTTCCTAGATTTATTTTCATATTTTTTTTCTCAAAATTCTTCCAAGTGAAATTCAACCAATGTATTTTAGAAATTCTTATTTCCTTTTCTATTTCTTTTTTTTTTTAATTTTTTTTTAACGTTTATTTATTTTTGAGACAGAGAGAGACAGAGCATGAACAGGGGAGGGTCAGAGAGAGAGGGAGACACAGAATCTGAAACAGGCTCCAGGCTCTGAG